CAGCGCTGGCTGCCCTGCTCCCGCCACAACCCCACCTCCTGGGGGTGCTTCCTTAATAAACTACCTGCACAAGAAAATCGTCTCGGGGTCTCCTTCCAGAAGAAACGGATATAAACAGTCCTTAACTCATTTTATCCTTAGAATAGTTTATGAAGCAAGACTCCTGTTGCCCCTGTTGGCTAGCCGAGGAAACTCAGGTGCACAGTAGCTAGTTAACTCACACAAGGCCACACAGCTCGTTAGTGGCACTGCCAGGATTCAAACTCAGGCAGTCCGGCTCCAGAGTCCACACTCCTGCAACCACTATACTCCCTCTCTAAGTCTCACAGCCCAAGCTCCTTACGTTGTCAGCAAGCGGAGTGGAGAGAATAGCGTCCCTCCCAAACGTCACCTCCGCCTGGAAGCTCAGGATGTGACTTTACTTGAAAATATGTCTTTGCAGATGTAAGTAGTTAAGATGAGGTCATGCTGAATGAGGGTGGGCCCTAAATCCGATGACTGGTGTCCTTATAAGAGAAAGGAGAGGGGAGATTCAGACACACACACACACAAAACACAGAGACGGCCACGTGACAACAGAGGCAGAGCTTGGAGGGACACAGCCACAAGCCAAGGATGGCCGGCCACCACCAGAAGCTGGAAGAGGCAGGAGGCTCTTCTGATAGAGCCTTCGGAGGGAGCACAGCCGTGCTGACACCTTGCCTTTGGACCCCCAGCCCCCAGATCTATGAGAGTGCATTTTCGCTGTTTCACACCTCCCGGTTTGTGGTCATTTGTTACAGTGGCCCCAGGAAACGGAAGAGCAAGCACACGGAGAAAGTCCCAGAGACGGTGCATGGACTATTTTTATTGAGCTGAAACTCATACCAGACACTCTTGGTTCCCACACAAGCTTCAGCTAGAAGGACAAAAATCGGCATAACGGCTCTCGGGGTCGTCTTTTCCGGGACCACTCTATGCTCGATGCTGCACATACTTTTTCTCAACAATCCCGGGGGTCAGGAGTTGCCATGCCCATCTTACAGGTGAGGCCCCTGAGGATGGGAACAGGAAGGACTCTTCCCAGCGTGACCCATTGGTAAGGGTGGGGCTGGGCTTTGAACTCAGGTCCACCTGCCTCTGTAGCCCATTCTTTTCACAATGGACTTCACCCAGCAGCCTCCGCGAACACATTCTAGCTCCGTGTGTCCAGCTCAGCCGCCGCTAGTGACAACGGAGCACCTGGAATAGGGCACGTCCAAATGGTCATGTGCTGCATTAATGTAAAGTACACACTTATCATCAACGGATGGATAAACAAAATTTGGTGGATTCATACAATGGAATATTACTCCGCCTTAAAAAGGAAGGAAATTCTGACCCAAGCTCCAACAGGGATGAAAGTTGAGGAGATTAAGTGAAATAAGCCAGTCACAAACGGACAAATATTGTATGATTCCACGTATGCGAGGTACCCAGAGTAGTCAAACTGCTAGAGACAGGAAGTAGAATGTCAGATGCCAGGGGCTGGGGGCGGGGGAATGAGGGATTGCTGTTTAACGGGGACAGAGTTTTAGAGTTTCATCTGCAAGACTAAAAGCGTTCTGGAGATGGGCTTCCCAACGATGTGGATGTACTTAACACTACTGAACTGTACACTTAGAAACGATTAACATGGTAAATTTGATGTGTATTAACCCCAATAAAACACACATATAATATGTTATATTATATATAAATATATAACCCACCAGATTTCAAAGGCTTAATATGAAAAAAAATAGAATGCAAAATACCCTACGCTAATTTTTAAACTGATTACATGTTGAGAGGATTGGTAATCTTGGATCTACTGGGTTAAATAAGAATATGTTGAAATTACTTTCACCTGCCCTTTTTACTTTTTTTAATGCCCAACTGGAAAAATTGTAATCACATGTGTGGCTTGCCTTACATTTTTTCGTAAAAGGCCAAATTATACCATCTGAAGAGAAACCAGAGCATTGTCTGACATTTTTTTGGACAGTGCTTTTCTCAGCTGCCCTTCAGAAAATGGCTATGTGATCAGTTTTCTTCCTCTCCTGGTGACGGAGTTGTTTGTCCAGAGCCTAAGATTTTTTTTCCAGACCCTTGAGCCTATTTTTGCAACCCCATCTCCCAAGTCCAACGGCTTCGATAATCTGTAATTCATTTCCGCACAGGCAAACCAGTAGTTTCCGAGTGCTGACATGAGGATTTCCAAATACAAGAGGCAGGAAAGTGCTCGTTAGTCTGGAGACTTCCAGGGAGGGGGAGACGGGAGGCTGCCAGGGTGCTCTGAGCGCAGGGCCAGTGTGAGTGGCTGAGAAAGCAGCGCTGCTCCGTACAGGCTCTCCGTCCCCTCTCACCCCGACACCAGCTTAGGCAATGGCACCCCTAAATCCACAGTCGGCCCCCAAGCCTTGCCCCACTGCTCAAAGCAGCGCAGGATCCACGGTCTAACTTCATGGGCGGCACCTCCTCCCAGGGGCGGCACCTCCTCCCAGGGGCCCTCCGCCCGAGGTCTGCTCCTCTCACAGGTGGGAGCAATGCTCTTGTCCCTGCTGTGTTCCCATGGTTTCCCATGCAAAATAAAAATAACCGCGAGAGGCACGCCTGGCGGCTGCCCAGTCTCTGCACTCGGGTGGGGGCTGCTGCCGCGCAGAACAGCCGAGCCTCCCCGAGCTCACCGCCCAGGAGCTGGACCCACGCAAGATGCCAACTAAGTGCGTCTCCAATGGCACCCGTGTGGGCTGTTGCACGGCAAGCCCGGCAGGGATTTGAGAAGCCGCGGTGATGCTCTCCCACACGGAGGGTACCGTGTGCACGCAGATGCAGCAGAGCGCCAGGGAAGCGGCTCAGGGTGTTCAGGCCCATGCCTGGGGGCCCTGGGGGCCCTGAGATCTCCAGGAGGTCCCTGGGGCTGGTGGAAGGTCCTCAGATCAGACCTGGAGGCCTCCGGATGCCCCGCAGCAATGTCACAGACAAAAAGATGGCTCTGGGTGCATCACTAAGCTCACACAGCTACCGGGTAACCCAGCAACTCCACTCCTGGGTGTAAACCTCAAAGCACTGAAAACATAGGTCCACACAAAAACGTGTACTGGAATGTTCATAGTGGTACTATTCTCATTAGCCAAAAGTGGGAAACAACCCAACGTCCATCAGTGGATAAATGGATAAACAAGACCAAGTCTAAACATACCATGGAATATTACTAAGCCAGAGAAAGGCATGGACCCTCTCAGCCTGTTCTCCTCATCTGTTCAAAAAGGAGGTTGGTTATCACACCAAGTGAAATAAGTCAGAAGGAGAAAGACAAACACCATGTGATACCACTTTTATGTGGAATCTTAAAAAATGATACAAATGAACTTATTTACAAAAGAGAAACAGACTGACAGACATAGAAAATAAACTTATGGTGACGAAAGAGGAAAGCGGCGAGGAGGGATAAACTAGGAGTCTGGGATCAGCAGATACAAAGCACTACATATAAAATAGATAAACAACAAGGTCTTACTGTAGTGCACAGGGAACTGTATTCAGTACCTTGTAATAAATTATAATGAAAAAGAGTATCTATGTATAACTGGATCACTATGCTGTACACCAGAAACTAACACCACGTTGTAAGCCAAATATACCTCAATTAAAAAAAAAGAGGTTGGACAGGATAACAACAGCTCACAGTAACAAGAGTGAACACTCGCTCAGTGTAGGCACCAGGTACGATTCTAAGCAGTTTCCATGTATTAATTCACTTAAGCCTCACAACAATCTTGAGGGAGATATGGTTATTTCCCCCATTTTTACATGGGGCGCTTAAGCACACGAAGGTCAAGGTCACTTAACAGGTAAGTATCCGGTTAGGATTCACACTGGGCGGTCTGGCTCTACAGCCAACGCTCAACACCACTCAGGCTTGCTTGCACTGCAGTACTCACACCTGCACAAGGGAAGCCTAAGGAAGAGAGAGTGCCGGCTCCTGGCTCAAACACTTCCTTTTTCCCTGGTCCCTACAGTCCTCATACAGCACCTTACTTTACTCCTAGAGTTGTAACCACGAGTTCTGAACTTGAGGCCCTCCACGAAAGTCCATCCCCCTTCCCAACAAACATGAGGAGGGGGCTTGTGTAGGGACCTGAGGAGTTTAACCAAAGAGATGGGTCTGAGATTCCTCAGGATCAGAGGCAGCCTCTGAATAGGAAGGAGGCTGCCCGGGAGCCGAGCTGATGCATCCAGCAGCATTCAGATCTGGGTGGCCATCCTGGGTTGCTCATTATTCAACCTGTGCCAGTGACAAGCACCTCAAATTTCTTCCCAACACACTCAGAATAAAACCCAAACCTTGGCCTCTAATGGGCTGTGAGCTGACCCCTGCTGACCCCTCTGACCTCATCGTTAATGCCCTTGGCTTCAATCATCTTCTGCAGCACTAGTGACACTAGCCTTCTTGGTTTTCCATACAGTCGTGCCCCAGGGCCTTTGCACCTGCCCCTCCCCAACATATTCACATGGCTCACTCCATGACTTCATTAGGGCTCAAATGTCACCTCATCAGAGAGGTCCTCCTTGATCCCCATATCTAAAGAAGCTCCCTACCAAGTTGCCTCTATCATATCCCCCTCGTTTTAGCTCTTCCACAACTCTGGTCAGCATCTGTTCAGAACTGTGACATCTAGTTGTTTACATACTTATCACCTATCTCCTCTGCACTAGAACATAAGCTTCACGAGCGTAGGGGCTTTATCTTATCCCACGTGCATCCCCAGTGCCTAGGGAAAGTCTGGAAAAGTGAGGAATCCAACAATTTGTCAGATGAACCTCTCAGTTTCATCATCTGTAAAGCAGGCCAAACTATTTCTCAGACAGAGTGATGGTGTGAGTCCACGTGACACGAGTCACGGCTGCTCCGGGACCACGCTCATGACTGTGACCGACGATGCCGGGGCTGGCAGTGGGAACCTCCCCCCACCTCCCCTGCAGGCCCCTCCTCTTACCTTCATGCTTCTGGAATTCCTCCTCAGAGAAGCTGACGTCCTTGTGGGAGAGGTTGGTCATGAGCTGCTTGTTCTCCTCCTGCAGCTGCGCGATCTGGGAAAGGAGGTCTTGTGCTTCCCCGCGCCACACGTCCTCCACCAGCTCCAGCTCCTGCCGGGGGAGGGGCCAGCGCGGGTCACCGCCTGCTCGGGGCAGCGGCCTCACCCCCCGGACCCTCGGGAGCCGCTCCGGGATGCCGGGGCTCTGGGCTGTCCCATTCGTCACGAAAGCCAGCCGCCAGGTAAGCAGACAAGGCCATCACTAGCCCATAGGGCAACTTTGTGAAAAACATCTTCCTCTGGGCGAGGCCTGCATTTGTACTGTTAGGACCTGGCCAGGCTAGAACTGCCCTGAGGACAACCACGGAACTGGAACTGGACCTTTTAACTATCTAGACAGCAGAGCGAGGAGGGGCCGCCCCAGGCTATGGGGACCAGAACATTCCTAACCGCTCTGGGGAGGTCATGTCCCTGATCTTCAGACAGACCCTCCATCAGGACAAGCTTCTCTCCAAGGGAGCAAGAGGCTGCAAAGACCCTGGGGATGCCACCTGGCCCCCGAGTTCCTTGTGTACCTGAAACAGGCATCTTTCCAAGTGGCCTAGGGCAACTCCCTTTACAACTCTGAGCCTCAGTTTCCCTTAGTCAGGGAGCCCTAATATAAGAGCTCACAGCAAAGAAAACCAGGACATTAATTTAAAAAGATATATGCACCCTAATGTTCACAGCAGCATTATTTACAACAGCCAAGCTATGGAAGCAATCTGAGTGTCCACTGATAGCTGAATGCATAAAGAAGATGAGGTATACATACCCAGTGGAATATTACTCAGCCATAAAAGTATGAAACTTTGCCATTTGTGACAACATGGATGGATCTAGAGAACATTATACTAAGTGAAATCAGTCAGACAGAAAAAGACAAATACCATATAATCTCACTTATTTGTGGAATCTAAAAAACAAAACAAACACAAAATAATGAAAACAGACTCAAGGATGCAGAGAACAAATAGGTGGTTGCCAGACGGGCTTGAGGGGTAAAATAGGCAAAGGAGATTAAGAGGTACAAACCTCCAGTTATAAAATAAACAAGCCACAGGGTGTAATATATAACAAAAAATATAGTCAGTATTATTGCAGTAAATCTGTATGGGGTCAGAAGGTTACTAGACTTATGATGATTATATTATAATGTAAGTGTCAAATCACTGTGTAGCACACCTGAGACTAATATAATATTGTGTGTTAACTACATTTCAATTAAAAAAAAAGGCTCACAGGATTGTTGTGATAATAAAAAAGATCAGTCTATTAAAATTATTTTAACGATGGCTGTAATCAGAGAAACAGACGATAACAAGTGTTGACAACGATATGAAGAAATCGGAACCCTCTTGCATTTCTGGTGAGAATGCAAAAGGGTGCAGCCGCTGTGGGAAACAGCCTGGCAGTTCCTTGGTAAGTTAAGCATAGTTACCATGTGACCCATCAATTCCACTTGTAGGATCTGCTCAAGAGAAATGAAAATATGTACATAAATGTTCATAGCAGCACTATTCTTAACAGCCAAAAGGTAGACACAACCCAAATGCCCATCAGTTGATGAATGAGTAAATAAAATGTGGTGTTTCCACACAATGGGATATTATTCAGACAAAAAGAAATGAAGCAAGGACATGTGCTACAACTTGGATGGACCTTGAAAACACGATGCTCAGGGCAAGTAGCCAGTCACCAAAGGTCACACAGTGTACGATTCATTCATGAGAAATGTCCACAACAGGTAAATCCATAGAGACAGAAAGCAGGCTGGCAGCTACCTGGCGGCAGAAGGATTGGTGGGGAATGAGGAATGACTATACTGATGGGTCTGGGTTTTCTTTTAGGCGTAATGAAAATGTTCTAAAATTGACTGCAGTAATGGCTGCACAACTCTGTGAATAAACTAAAAACTATTGCATTGTATGCTTGAAATGGGTGAATTGTAAGCTTTGTGAATTATATTCATTAAAACTGTTTCCCCTCCCCCCCAAAAAACCAAAGGTATTTAAAAAAAAGTATTTTGTAAAACCATAAACTAAACAAAGTTTCATCACTGTTGCCTGTATAGAATGCTGGTTTAAAGCATGGATACTGAGGCCCGATGGCCTGAGTCTGAATTCTGTTTCTGCCACTTATTAGCTGATCTTGGATAAGTTATTCAACCTTCAGGTGCCTGAAATGAGAAAAATAGTGTAGTATCTACCCCTGCGGGTTGTCATGAGGATTAAATGGTTAATATATGTAAATGCCTGGAGTAGTGCCCAGCACCCAGAAAGTGCTAAAGATGTTTGCTGATTCCTGGTCCTCCTACAGCCTATCACAAGCCGGCCCAGATGGCCGGATGTCCAGCATCGCCTCCATTCATCTCTTAAATAAGTTCCTAAATCCCATCTCCTTTGTCAGGAAGCCTGCTGCACTGGGGAAATGAGAGGTAGTAAGTATTCGCACAGCTGATTCAAGGTCACCAGGGGAGGTGACGGGTGGGGCCGGAGGGCGGAAGTGATGGTGGAATGATGGAGTGGGCATGGGACATTCCCACATGCAGGGCAGGCTGGAAGCAGAGTCAGGCTCTTCCTGCCCTGGTCCCCTCTGCTCCCACCTGGCACAGGCTGAACACACAGAGGGCCCCAGTACCTCCCTCACTTCAGCTCCTCTCCTTCTTCCTCACTTGCTCTGCTCTAGACACACTAGCCTTCTTTGTGTTTCTCGAACTCACCAAGCTCATTCCTACCTCAGGGCCTTTGCACTTGCTGTGCCTGTTGCCTAAAATGCCAGATCTCTCTATGGGTGGCACCTACACTTCATTCAGATCTCAGCTCAGATGTCACCTCCTCAGGGAAGCCTTCCTGACTGTCCCATCTACCAGACCCCAGCCCTGGCCAATCTCTTTTCCTGTTTTATCTTCTTCATGGCACTTATCATAAGTTGAAATTTTTAAAAACTTAAAAAAAAATCTTTCTCTTTACTCTAGAATCACATCCTTCCACAGAGTAGCCACAAGCCACATGTCTCTGCTGAGCACCTGAAATTTGACTGGTCTAAACTGAAACATGCAGTAAGGGTTAAACATGCACTGAATTTCAAAGACACAGGAAAAAAAGAATGCAAAATATCTCACTAATAACTTTCTTGTAACTATGTGTGGTGATAGATGTTAACTAAATGTACTGTGTTTAGTTTTATAATATATACGTGCATCATGTTGTAAATATAATGTAAATAATGTTGTAAATCTAAAACTAATACAATGTTGTATGTCAATTATACCTCAACAAAAATATTTTTTTACATTGACTGCATGTTGGAATAATATTTCAGATAGACTAGGTTTAATAAAATGTTATTAAAATTAACTTCATCTGTGTCTTTTTTATTAATGTGACACACCACATTGTATTTCTATGGGACAGCACTGCACTGGAATGTCAGGTCCTTGAAAGCAAAGACTTTATCAGTTGTGCTCACCAATGTCTCCCAGAACAGTGCCTGGTGCATAGTAGGTACTCAGTGAATGTATCTGTTGACTGATTAAATGAACAATGTATACTGTTTACATTATATGCAACTGTATCTGCAAAGCCACTGCTTTCTAAAGTCTATTCATGTGTTCTTCCTGTCTTCCCTGTTACCTACTCGCTGCCTGACATGAGGAACTGGTTTTCCTTTCCTCTGCATCCATCACGTCACCTAGGGGGGCACTTGGCAAGCTGTGGTCAGTTGACTGGTTTGCACACTGAGCCACCAGGTAAAATATGACAAGACTGTGGCCTAGGTCTGAGTGATGAACAGAACTAAGACAGGGTTCAAGCCTTACTAGAGCCAGATTTGTTGAAACAGAAATAGAAGGAAGGAAGGGAGCAAAGCGAATGAGGGAGAGAAGAACAGACAGGTAAGATCAAGGACATACTAAGAAGATTTTTGTGGAAATGATACCCTGAAGAGCCTTTGAGGTTTATGAGGAGGAAAAAAAATCAGACAAGTCTCTTGATCCCAAGAATACGATGGGGACTGGAGTTGGGATGGGAAAACAAGGGATTCTGTCCTCCAAATTGGAAAAGACCATCTTCGGTGTTTACAAACGAGCCCTGGCAGTGAGCACACTGGTGTTTACTTCCTGGCTGAGAGCGAGCGTTCCAGAGGTGACAAGTGCAGCTGGCTGGGACTCCCACCTGACTCCAGGCCTAGTGGCCTCTGATGGCTCCCAGGGGTGGCTCCCAGTCCGGCTGCAGCAGAACTAAAATGCTAGGGGTGGGGACAAAGGTGCCAGGCCTTATTGTGTGACCTGGGCTAAGTCCCTTAGTCCCTGTCAATAAGAGGCAGTTGCATGAGGGGATCTCAAGGTCCCTTCCTTCCCTGACTCTCTGGGAGAGGAGGGACCCAGGGGAGGAGCAGGGGTACCCGGGGTGGGGGTGGAGTCTCCAGTATCAGCCTAAGAACACCCAGTGAAAGCCTCTCCCGGCCTAGGAACAATAGTTAACACACGTTAAGGCCCTCCAAGTGGGCCAGGTTTTGTCCTGAGCTCTTTAATTCTCACCACAACCTGATAAGATGGGCACTATTATTCTTCCCATTTTACAGCTGAGGAAACTGAGGCACAGAGAGGTGAGGTGACTTGCCCACGATCACACAGCCCAGGAGTGACAGGCTTTGAAACCAGGCTATCTAGCTCCAAAGCTCCTGCTCCTCGGAATCTTGACATTAATTACAGGCTGGGGCATTTTCAAGCTCCCAGTGTGATCTTGGAAATGCTGCCTAAGGCTTGGGAGCTTGGATCTCTTACCTGACCCCAGGGTGTAGGGACCTTTGAGGACAAACACAATCAAACCTCCAAAGCACTAGTGCTCTGTCCCAAAGGATCTGCCCTCAGGTTAAGACTGTCGACAAATAGCCTGGGATGTTTCCCTTGAAAAGACACAGATCTCAAAGTACACAACAGGTCACAGCTAGTCAGAGAGGTTCAGAGAGGCCAAAGACTATGTCCTAAGGCCACACAGCAAGTCAGAGTCCCCTCAGACACCCAAATTCCCCAAGGAAAAACGTTTCCTCCCATTCTCAGTCTGAAGGGTCTGACAAGAGTTTCCCGGGGCTGAGGCTGGGGCAGGAAACCACACGTCTGCCACTTCCTTTTCCCCAGGCACCTTGTCTGGACTCCCCTGACCCAGCCCAGTGAGGAGTCCCTGATTCACAAGCGCAGGGGGATCTGTGTTCACGAGGCAGAGGCTTAGCCTTAAAGCTGCCCCAAATCACCTTCCCCCAATTCAAAGAGGGTGGGGAAGAGGCACTAGAATTATCCCCACCGGGGCTGGGACTCTCTCAGCACTAACTTGGGATGAGATCGTCAGTTTCTTCTTCTGTAAAATGAAGATAATAACCCCTACCTCACAGAGTTCTG